TTTTCCACAGAACAATTTACATGCCAATCTAAAACTAGTTGTGACTCCTGATGTGCTACATGAGAGTTCTGAAATGTTTCTTAGCTCCTGAAACCTTAACTTTTTTCTTTTTTAAGTCTGCCTGTGTATTGTCCTGAATAATTGGAGCTCTGAATGCTTTTAGGATGAAGCTACAAAGTGGGAAAGCATCGCAAAAGTATTCTTTTTATCTCCTTCTAGATCTCTCACTCTCTTGTTGACTGCATATGGTCTGTCACTTTGCTGTCTTTTAGAGACCAGTGCACTGATACCTAATTTGCTCCCAACTGATTTTTATTTATCTTTTATTTTGAAGTAGGAGCAAGTTTTCCCTTTCTTGCTGTACATGCTACTGTCCTTGGTAGAACCGTGTTCGTGCCTCCAGAAAGGAGGGGGAGAGAGTGGCCTTTGAAAGTTGTTTTTTTTTTTAAGTGATCCAGTCCGTAATAATATCCAACTCTTCCTCCCTTAACATGCCTGTCAGAGACTGTTCCACAAACCAGAAACCGAGTCTTGTGCTGCACTGAGCACCATCAGGGACCAGTCCTGCTTACAGATGCTACTGTATCGCTAACAAAATACAGTTCATTATGTCAAATCTTTATTCCCTTTGATTTTTTGAGAAGGGTGATGATTGGAGTGAAATGGATTTTTGTCTCTCTGCCTTCCTCCAGCAACCTAATTTAGCTTTTTTCCAGCAATCTTTCCTTTTTATCCTGAAATTCACAGTTACAAATTGGTTGACAATGTTTCATCACACAATAATAACAATAACTAGGGATGGGAATCAGTTGCATCAAAGTTATTTTGGGAGACCAAAGAAAATCCAAACCCCTGTAAATCAGGTTATGAAGTTTCCCCTTCAAAAGGTGGTGGATGGTCATTAAGAAGTCTTATTCCTGACACAGCTCTGCAGTTTATGTGCAGTATCTTGGGGACTGGGGGGTGGAAGGAGGGAGGGAATGGAGGGAAGGATAGAGAAAGCCCTTAAAAGCATTTTGGGGTGAAGTAAGGGTTCATTTGACAGTGACAGACTAGAAACTGAAGTCTCTCAGTTCTCGGAACAGTTCTGCTCTGTGATGCAGAGCATGGGTAGGACTCTGCAGAACTGAAGGGAAAGGGGGTTGGATTTTCTTTTTTTTTTTTTTTTTTCTTTTTTTTTTTTCTTACAGCCTGTGTGTAGCACTTACGGAATTGTATGGGTTTTTTTAGAAGTGCTCCATGTGCTCTTGCTTTCCTGGGGAAAGGGGAAAGGCGGGCAGCCGGGAAGCAATGCTGTGTGTCGCTACCTGGAATTTGAGCAGCAAGCAGTTTGGATGGTTTTGTGGGTGCTGTCAGTCTTTGAAAGGGTCCTTCCTGTGTCCTAAGAAATAAATGGGTGCTTACACCTCAGCCTGTGAAAAGCTGTATGACAGTAAGCTGCAGGTATTGTTATTGCCAAATTAAGAGAGAGCTAAAAATACATGAGCACGTATCTGAGAAGTATAACTGCATTGGAGATCTTATGGGAACATTAAAGGGAAGTGAGATGGTCTGTGAGGTGATCTGCATTGAAGTGGCTCGCTCATCCTATACAGAATAAAAGGGACCAAATGTTCAGTTTTCAAAATTAAGTGATTTAATCAGGAGCATGTGAAAAGGGCATGTGCAAAGAACTTGGAGATACGTAAAACACTTAAAATGGTTTTATTCTTTGTTTTGTTTAGATCCATTCTACACTTCAAAAAAAAGAGTAACTTTTTTTATAATGGAATAGTAGTTTGGGTTTGTGTTTTTTTTTTTTTTTTAAACTTGCATTAAAATAGAAGCAGCTTCATCTCAAGTCAAGTGCAAAAAGATCAGATCTATCTGAAGAATGAAGCATCCCTTCCCTCCAAAAACTGTTGCAGATTCAATCCCTAATCTGAAGATGCTGCCAGTGGCATGTCAGCAGCACCTTCGCTTTCAGCCTCAGGAAAACAGACATGCAGGGTTGCTAACACAACATCCATAGGGTGTCTGCCCTCTTTCACTTGTCTCTACCAGAGGGGTTTGGGCTAACCAACATGAATGACCGTGCTCTGGCTACTTTCCTCCAGTAAAACTGTGCCAGGGGTGTGTTCAAGACTGTGCAAACTGCAGTTTTATTTTATTGCAGTAACCTCATGTTCGCAGCATACACCTTGGGAATTATCAGGCTGGATTACTGCAATTTGCTCACACGTTCACTTGGTTAGCCGTGTTTCTGTGGCACCCTGTTCCCTTCAGATGGCACAGGACAGATCAGCCTGGATCAGAGACTGTCAGCCTCTGCTCTCTAACCCGCTTCCTTATCAGGCGACAAAATTTTTACATTAAGATTTTTTTTTCTTTAAAGCCTTCAACTGTGTTAGCTCCTAGTTTATCCTGGTTTCCCTCAAGCTAAAGATTAAAGTTCTAGAACAGCCCTTCATGCTTCTGAACTTTTTTACCGAGTTTCACGAAGTTGATACAAACTGCGGCTGATTTTATGTCCTCTGTGTGGCCAAAGAGAGGGGCTGGGGTTATCACGTTGTTGGCACTTAGGTATTTATACTCTTCTGTGACGTGCAACTTTACCGATTAAGGCTTTTTCGACCAAGTTGAGAGTATTAGAGACCCAGCAGGACTTCCCTCTGCAGTCTGGTATAGGTTCTTTACCAGAAATCACTGATATTTTCACTGCTTTTAGTCATTTATTTGTAGCCATGTTATTTTGCTGCTTCACATAGGTACCTTGGATTCAAGGGAGTCAGTTGGCAATTGAAAATACTGTTAAGGCTCAGCCTTTGTCTCGTGGTCCTCCCACACGAGATGTGTGTGTTTGTTTCCAGATCTGCCACAGACCCACTGTGCAGGTCACTGGGTCTCATCCTCCGCCTCATGACGGAGCAGCAGATCTTACCAGTCTGTGAGTGGTGTAGGAGCTATCAGTAGGAGCTATTTTTTTATACTCACTGATAGAAAATTATAGACCTTACGCTTTCGTTGTGAGCTGTGGATGTTACGCAGCAGAACTGCCGTGGTACTTCGGGGTGCTCAGTCAGAGACCTGTCTGCATAGAGCTGAACGGCTACTTTGACAGGCACATATATTGCCACAAAACGCGTCACCGAGTGTATTGCAAAGAGTTGTTGGGCTCATACGTCACCGTAAGAATTACTTTTTCTAATTCAGTGATCAGCCTCACCGGTGAAACTTGGGAGTTTACCTGGAAAGTCACTTAACTGGCTCTACAATCGCCGCGGTCCACGTAAATTCAGTGTTTCACATACGGATCCTTGGGATGCCTCAGCCAGCATAGCGCTTCCCCTCTTGTCTTCGTAGCACTGATGTCTATAAAGGCATACTGTACCATTGCTTCAAGGATTATGCTCATTTTCGTGTTTTCATGAAAGCTTTGGAAAAAAAACCCCAAACCCCACCTTGTTCATGTTCTAGCTCCCGGAGCCTGCCTGGCCGCAGTGGTGGGTTACAGCTCCAGCCGAGAGCTGCTGATAGAAGCTGGGACTGTAAAGCTTGCTGAACAGTAGGTAGTAGAGCATTCTTGATGAGGAGCTCTTGAATTTGCTTCTCTTTGTTACAAGACTCTATTTGACCTTTCCCAGTCTGTGCATAATAACAGGCTGCCATACTCTGAATTTTGGGGTAGCATTTACTTGTTGGCAACAGCATTCCTTCTCCAGTCTTGACATTCTCATAGTAATATTCAGAGGCACTCTAATGAGTAGCATTTTTTTAAAAGTTACATATCTGATTGGCTTCGAAAGAAGGAGATAACCTAATTGTCAAACTGCATGTCACTTCTCTCCTTCTCCCTGGTGCCTGTTTGATGTCCAGCAAAGCATCCGCGGGGCTATGATTGTGCTTATTCTAAGAAATGACTTTCAGAGAACTGGTCTGAGTGTAATGGGATGGCAGTTCATGCGATTAACCAAGAGAGACCAGTCTGTAAACACTTTCGGGCAGTGACCTTCTCTCCCCATTTACTGTAAAACTGAGGGCAATTGATTTTTTGTATGGATCTCTGGAAGCTGGCTGCGGTGGTCTGCGTGTCATCGCTTAACTAGGTTCCACTTCTACCAGTTCCTCCCGTGAACAGTGGCTCAGGCGTTTGAATTGTTATTTAAACGCTCTCTGCTATTACATCAAAAGGTGTATATATACTTAATAGACACTACTGCGCTCCTTGTCCCGAACCAGGTGTCGGCTAAAAATTGGGATTGGAAAGCGGGGCAGAGTTGGTTTTATGTTGTGTTTGGTTGTTGGTTTTTTCCCCTTTGGCAAACTAGTAACTCCCCAAGCTTGTGCAGTTTGTTTAAAATCAGTTTATTTCAGAAGGACCTGCAGGTTGTATCTGGAGATGCTGGTACTGACGTCTCTGGAAATTTTATTGCTTCATTCATGTGTCTAACAAGAACTGAAATCTTAAAAATCAAAACACCCCTCGCCAGCACCAAAATGTCTATGTCAAACCTCCCTGAAACTTTGGCACTGTGCCTCTAATAGCTTTAGTTCTTTCTTCTTTAGAATCTGGAGTGCTTTTATATTTTTTACACATAGTGGAAAAAGGTCCAAATATGTAGATTTAGCTGGGTTTGCCATCACAGATAGTCTGTTTATTTAATTTTTTGGTTGCTAAATATTGGATGCTCTGGGTGAAAGTGGATGACTTTTCAACTGAACTGTTTCCATTTTTCATTTTAATTTTTTAATCCTATTTCTTTTCAGCAAAGAGACCAGGTAAATGAGGTGTTAAAGAGAACCTGTGGAACATGGAGCAGTGGAAGTTTCTGCTCTCAAATTTATCTTAACATTGTTTTCAGCTTGCTGTGGACTATCTAGGTTATTTCATCCTATCTATGCGACTGCCTTTTTAATGAACTGGGTGTGGGGGGAGCAACGAGGTGGAGGCAGAAAAGGACGAGACTTGCACTCCAGAGAATATCTGTTTTCACTCTTCCCTTGTCTTCTTGTATTTCAGGTATACAAATGCTCTCAGTCCAGCCAGACACCAAGCCGAAAGGTTGTGCTGGCTGCAACCGTAAGATTAAAGACCGATATCTTCTAAAGGCCCTGGACAAATATTGGCATGAAGACTGCCTGAAATGTGCCTGCTGTGACTGTCGCCTGGGGGAGGTGGGCTCTACCTTGTACACCAAAGCCAACCTTATCCTTTGTCGCAGAGACTATCTGAGGTAGGCCATGTCCTTCTTACGTTCACTGCCAAACTCGCTAAATCTGTTCAGCCCTTCCTATGTCATCACTGTTGCATAAGTAACACTTGAGGGCTGTGAGGCTGAGCAAGTGCTGAGGATGAGAATACAAATACTACAGCATGGAGATAAAACTAAAATCTGAACCAAAAAGCACATGTAACCAGGTCATGTGGGTGGTTGACAGTTGTCTCATTCTGGTAGTAGGGTCCTATCCTCAGAGGAGTAAACCTGCCACGTTTCCAGCAGCGCCATGCTCCCGAGGAGCTGGTGGTCTCCTCCTCCTCGCAGCACAGCGGTGCCCAGGCATAGAGGCCTGAGACTGCGCACGGGGTTTGAATGCCGCGGGTGAGGAGCACTTCACTCGTCTTTGCTTACGCGCTTTCATCCCGTTCCTTTGCCAGAGGGATTTCATTTGTAGCACTGGAAGCCGTTTGGCTGTTAGAAGCTGGACTGAGATGACCAACTGCCTTCCCTGTGCTTAAATAACCATGTAGCTCGTTGGCTTAAAGCCACTCCGGTCCTGATTGAACTCGGAGACCTGGGTGAGATGCCCAGTAACTTGTTGCTGCTTCTCAGAGGTCACAAGTCATCACCTGATTTTCTGTCCTCTTGTTTGTTCGTGGATCTACGTTCTCAAAAGTATTTGAGGTATAACTCACAGCCAAGTGCTGATGAGCGGCGCCAGAACAGCTTATCTGCAGATTGTATGTCACTAAATAGGTCTACTTTGCAGGACCTAAGTTTAATTAGGAAGTTGAGTCTCCCTAGGCTCTCAATAGTAAATAGAGAGAAAAGGCTCCTCTGGGGTGATTCAGAGCACCTATTTCCTATAGGAGCACCTTTCCTCCATTCCCTGTAGAGAGTGTCTAATGAGACTAGCTGCTCCAGGCTAACGTGAACTTCTGGGAATATTTCCCCTGCCCCTGTAGTGAAGCCTTTCCCTTTTAAAGGGACATTCAAGTCAGTAATACATTGGGGAAAAATTAAAATTCACTTTGAACACGTTAACTTACAAGTGCAGTTTAAGTACAGGTACCAAGTAGGAGGTTCCCGCACACCGATCGGTTCCCAAGTTGTACAGCATGGGTAGGTTGGAACAGGAATCAAGACTAAAGCGTTCGCAAGTGTTGGTACTCTGGCTGTCCGCATTACAGCCTGTTTTTTTCTAGAGTGGAACAAAAACCCTCAGAAACGCGTGGTGCGTTTATTGAGCTGGGGCTGCAAGGCCGGTCACGTTCTTCAGGCGTGGGCTTGGACTACTTAACGGGTAGCAGAGTACTTTTACCACTAAAACTCCAAACTGAACGCAAGATAGAGTGCTGGGAATTTAGCATAGAGTCTGCATCTTAAAGCCACTGTGTTAAAGCTGCAAAGAAGTAGGTAACAAAACCTTTCTTTTAAAAACTGGCAGGGAACTGTTTGAATAGAAGGGAATTGTTCTACATGAACCTAGATCACTTGCGACCTTAATGTGTGTGTCTTAGAGAGAGGGGTTGGAACAGCTCCTGGGGGGAAGGTAGCACTTACCCTGATTTTTAAAACCCATGTTAAGAATCTTTCTACAAGTGCCTTCATGAGCGTGGAAACTCGGCAGTGGCTGTCTGATCTGAGTTCCAAACTTACTGGAGTCTTTGGACTTACCGGATCTCCCAAGTGCTAGTGTAGCAGCTCTGGTGTTTTAGAGTCAAAACCAAAAGTGACCTAGTAGTAGAGATACGAGCAGAGCATTTCCCTGCCACAGGTACGTACACACACTCTGTTGCTTTCTGGTCTTGGAAGGTCTAACAGGAGTATGTATTTTGCTAACAGATTGTTAAAATTCATACTAAGTGATTCAGAGAAAGGAGACTGGTTTTTTTTTAGTCTGTCATGACCACATTCAAAACTGGTGTTTCAGTTATTTGTTCATATACAATATATTGCACCAGTGAAGCCAGTATACATGAGAAATCCTATAATGAGTTTTAAGAGGTTTCTGATTTATTTTTTCCTCCAGGTTTATCAAGTCTTAATGACGCTGTCTTGTCATGAGCCCTTTCTTTTTTAATGATTCTTGTGAGTGCATAGATTTAAACTTGGTATTTACACTAAACTTCAAACTGATGTACTTAAGGTAATTGCAGATAGTCATTTGCCTCCTTGCGTCTTATCTATTTAGTTATGCAGTGAACCTATAAAAGTGATCTTTTTAATGCTAATGTAGAAACTGGTTAAATGTTCTCTAGCTTTGTAGTCAAATAAGCTTTCATATTTAGCAACCTATTTGATATGATTTTAAAGGACAAATTACTTTGTACTAATGATCATATTAGGATTTGATTACAGTTTCAAGCTATCCCCTTAATTTTTTTTTTTTTTTTTAACCATAAAGGGAGTCTTTGCTCTGTACAAAACTGTTCTAGCTTCCTATTAATTTATGTGGTGCCCTCTAGAGGATATGTGGTTTGTACGATACTATAAAGAGTAAAATCGCTTATTAACTTGTCTCTCTGTGTTCATTATGTCTTTCAATAAGACAGCCATTCTACAGATGCTGTAAGCAATAACGTAGCCAGTTTGGGTGCTTTAATGTTCCTGGTTAAATTCGCAAACTGTGTGATTGCGTCTTTGGCTTTTTGCAAAGATACTTCCAGTGTCTCTCATTTAGAGATGCCTGCCAAAAAAGCTAAACGCTCCCTCAGCCCCGATGCACGCTCTCGTTCTGTATTTGAGCCTTGAGGTACCCACTTTGGTGTGCTTTTTAAAATACTCTGTATCCTCAGAACTTCAAAACTTGCTTTGCTTTAGCTCTCTCCTTTGGTAAAATTGGTTAATTTTCCCATGTTAAAATCTTTTTCTCTGGTTTGGTGGGGGCTGAGGGGATGGAAGAAATCTTTAATGAGGTAACGAGCTTGGAAGATGCTTTGGGTGTGAGCGGCTCTACCCTTGAATCCGATTCGTGTGAGTCACGCCAGTGGTTTTGGAGGTGGCGTGCGACACCGAGGGTATTAGGGTGGCCGCAGAAATTGGTTAATTTTCCCATGTTAAAATCTTTTTCTCTGGTTTGGTGGGGGCTGAGGGGATGGAAGAAATCTTTAATGAGGTAACGAGCTTGGAAGATGCTTTGGGTGTGAGCGGCTCTACCCTTGAATCCGATTCGTGTGAGTCACGCCAGTGGTTTTGGAGGTGGCGTGCGACACCGAGGGTATTAGGGTGGCCGCAGCAGGAAGGATGAGAACTGACTTGAGTAAAGAAAGGACTCTGTGTTAGAAATAACACACTTGGTGAAAATGATATGCAGAGTATAATTCCCCTGCAGGCTTCTGTCTCCTGCTTATAGACTCTTGGGTTAGAAAGTGAAGACTTAATTTAAGGAACTTAGGTTTACGCCAATATTTCAAGTCCATTTACAGTAAGCGAAATATGCAAGAAGTTTTCTTTTTTTTTTTCCTTTTCCTTTTTCCCTCCAGAGCTGTACAGTGACATCTTAATGTACCAGCCTATACTGCTCCATCCTCTCCTCTGACTGGCAGCATGTCCATTTACAAGCACAATATTCCCTTTGAAATCTGTCATTACTGCCATTAATGACCAGTCGTTATGTTAACAGCCCAAGGGCTGTTAACATGTCAAACTGGTTGTTAACTGGAATGTTATTACTTATTTAAAGCGCAGGTATGAGTTGTGTGAAATGTGCTTTGGTTGTGCATTGGGGGCTGCTTCTGCTCAAAACAACAGAGAAACCGCGAAGCGTTTGCCTTTGGGGTGCCAAGGGATTTGCTTTCTGTTCCATCTGCTCATTTGATTTCTGCATATTTGTGAGGTCCTCCTACCCCTGGGCAGCCTCCTAATTTCAGGTGCGACTGTGTGCAGTCCCGTCTCTCAGCTTTGCGTGCGGATGGGCAGCCGTGGTTATTTCCAGATGCACAGTAATGCCTGCCGCACATTTGAGATTAATATCTGGCCCCTAAAAGTGTAAAATGAAAGACCGACAATTACATGTAACTCAGTTGTATTAAATAATGAGCTTCCTCGGATGCAGCGAAAATATGAAAGTACAGCTGTGCTAAGCTAGTAGCAATGTAGGTCAATCACCCTTTTCACTTAGGTTTTTAACTACGCAAACCCCGCTGAGCGACCAATGACTACAAAGTGCTGTTTCATTCCTATTTAATTTTGGCAGCATTTTACTGAAGAGCAGGCATTCATGCAGCTAAATTATCTTCACCGTTTCTGGTTTTAACTCCAGCTCCATGACACTAAATGTTGGAGTGCGTATCTCTTAGTAAACACAAAGGATATGGGTTCTGATTTATTTCTTTTTTTTTTTTTTCCAAATCCATCTCTTAACAGGGAAATTGAATTATTTAAAAAAGTAACTTTTATTACTTCTTACATAATTTCCCTAGCCAGGCAAACAGATCATAGGAAAAGGATTAACAAAACTAATGTATTAGGGTGGATTTTTTTCCCTTAAACACATCCAGGACTTTATCAGGGATAGGAGGGATGGTGACACAAAAGTCTACCCCGCCACCGCCCAACCTTGTAAATATACTGCATACTTTAAAAATACCACTGAATTGCTATGAAGATGAGTTGATCATTATTCCTGAAGAAAGAAGCAGATCATGGGATGGTGGGGTTTTTTTCCTTCTCCATTTGCTGGTTTGAAGACCCCGAGACAAGCCAAGTTTTTAAAGCATATCAATTGGATGAGAGCTTGGAAAAAATGAGACATGACTACAGAAAGTGTTCAACCATAAGCATCGTAAAGATGCTGTCTCTGTAAAATATTTAGCTTGTGAATGGGTGCAGACTGAAAACAGTAGAGTTGAGGCAGCAGCCTCTTCCTGTACAACTGCTCGCACTCTAAAGGCCATTATTATTTTAAAAAAATGTTATGTAGGACTACTTAGACTTAAATGTGGCTTGGTACTGATTAGGAGATCCTATTTCTCTCTCATGTGGTGGAAAGTGCACATTAAGTATTGCAAACA